TTGGGAGGCAGAGGCAGGTGGATCTCTGTGAGTTCAAGGCCAGCCTGGTCTACATAGTGAGTGCCAGGACAGCTGGGGCTACAGGGAGACCCTGTCTCAAAAAGACAAAAAAAAAAAGTATTGCTGGAACTATATGAAAATGCTAACACAACACAACAAAAGCTCTGGGGCACTTTAAAAGCAGTCCTAGGAGGGAAGTTTATAGCTCTTAGTGCCAACATTAAAAAATCAGGAAGAGCACAAATAAAATAATTGACACTACAACTCAAGAATCTGGAAAGGCAAGAACAAACCAAATCCAAACCTAGCAGATGAGAAGAAATAATAAAAATCAGAGCAGAAATTAATAAAATAGAAACAAAGAAAGCAATACAAAAAAAATCAATGATAAGAGCTGGTTATTTGAAAGGTTAAACAAGATAGACAGACCCTTAGTCCAGTTAACCAATAGAAAGAAAGAGATCTAAGAACTGGTTCTTTGAAAAGTTAAACAAGATACACAGACCCTTAACTCAGCTAATCAAAAGAAAGAGCAAATCCAAATGAACAAAATCAGAGATGAAAGGGGGAATATTACAACAGACACCAAAAACCCAAAACATATAGGGACTGTTTAAAAAATCTATACTCTATTAAATTTGAAAATGTAAGAGAAATGGATGGAAACCACCAAGTTAAACTAGGAAGAGATCAACAGCTTACACAGATCTGTGACAAATAAGGAAATTGAAACAGTAATACAAAACCTCCCAACTGACAAAAGCCCAGACCCACCCAGAAGGATTCACAGCAGAATTCTACTAGACATTCAAAGATCTCCAACCAATACTACTCAAATTATTCAAAGAGACAGACAAAGAGGGAGAACTCCCAAACTCTGTCCATGAAACCAGTCTTACTCTAATACTAAAACCAGGTAAAGACACAACAGAAAAGCAAGCAAGCCATCCCTTTCAAAAAGAGATGATATTTTGGCACTAGAGATTGAAGTCAAGGATTTATGCATGCTAGATGACTGTTGTAGGCAAAGGGACAGAGATATGTGTGTTCTGAGCTGGGAGGGAGTCTGGTACATGAAAGCAAGGCAGTATGACTGGTACCAGAGAGCTGGTAGGGCATGGGGAGCAATGAGATGGAGACACAGGAAGGCCATGGCTGTGCAGGGTCTCAACATCCAAAGAAGAATTTGAAAAATCTCAGAAGTTCCTACGTATGAGGGTGTCTTGCCCAGATTACATGCTATAAGGTCCTTCCGGCTGCCTTATGGCTTCTCCAACAATGGGAAGCAAGGGTGACATCAGGGACACTTACAAGCAAGGCATCACTTATCTAGGAGAATGATGGTGAAGGATAGCACTAGGTTGTGACTTGCAGAGATGAAAACCATCTGGATATGGCTGATGTTTCAGAAGTAAAAGTCATAGGATTGGTGACTTAGCTAAATGGATATGGGGTATGAAGGCAGAAGGCTTTCAAGATGTTTCTAGATTTCTGGCTGTTTTCTGGGTGGTATGATGAAGCATGAGGAGAGTGGGCAACACAGAAAAAGAATCTTGGGAGAAGATCATTAGTGTAGTTTTGAGCATGTTGACTTTGAGGGGCTCTCACACAAATGTCAGTGCCATGCAGGCAGGGCAAGGAGTGGAACTGTGCCTGGAAGAGAGTAAGGGTAGCAGGTAAAAATTGGGGGCCATCAGTGATAGGTGATAATGACATTTTTTGGGAGAGGATGAGAGTACTCAGGAAGGAATTAAGTGTGGTGACAGGCCCTATGTTCTAGCCTTGGAAAAAATACATGATATAGAGATGAGTAAGCTATGCCTTCTGCCCTCATGACACCCATAGTCACATACCCTGGGATCGATGTTTAAAGGAACATATGCTAAGAGCCAAGAGAATGTTGTATGTGGAGAAAGATATTTCCAGATGAATGGGTTAACCCATTCCACAGTAGTATATAATGAAAGGTCTTGAGATTGATCTCTACTTGCTTTCTAAGATTCTTGGGGGAGTCTTTAGGTGTGTATTCATCTGTCTCTCCCTTTCTGATGACCAGACTTCACACATATCTCCATAGCCTGCACCTGATGGTTCTGTGTCCCTCCAGACCTATGTCATTACTGAGTGGGGCAATTGAACCATACAATGCAATTTAATCAATGGGGGCCAGGAGATTGTCATGAATGCAGAGCTCCCAGGCACCTGTGATGCGTTAGGCTATGAGGAAGCAGAGGGTGTAGCCAAAATGGCTAGTGTCGGCCCTGGAGCTTCAGTTGGCCCGTTTAAGGGATGGTGGCATCTTGACCAAAGCTTTGGATTGCCTCTCAGTTGTGATTTGTGTGAATTTGAAGACAATAGTCAAGGAAAGATGGCCCTGGAGTGAGTGTCATCTTTATCTTCTGCTAAGTTGTACATCTGGATTGTCATGAGGCTTTAGGACCATGACAGGCTTTTGAGACTGTGTCTGAGTGGTGGCTATATAATCTTTCTGTTCCAAGTTCTGCCCTGGGCCAATTGGAGGACAGGCATGTAGGCACAAGGGAAGGGGAATAGGCAAGATGACCATGGTTGTGCTGTCAGTGTGCATGCCCACTGCTATCTTTCTGCTCTCTGCCCTAGGGAGGACCTTCTGGGTCTCCCCTGACTTTCTGCTCTTCAAGACCCAGTCCCAGCCTTGATTTCTTCTACTTCGACTTTTCAACCTTTCTGGCCTCCCATGGTAGAGACTAGAGACCACAAAAAGAAGTATGTGTTATAGACCTTTGCCTTGTATTCATTACTTTCCTTGTTGTGTGACAAAATACCAGACAGGAAGCAGTTTCAGGAAGGAAGGGTTTATTAAGGCTTCTACTTTGCAGGAGTGCATGTCAGCAGGAGCTGGGGGCTGGCTGGTCACATGGCATCCACAGTCAGGAAGGAGAAAATGAACAGGAAGTAGGGTTTGGTTATAAAACCTCAAGGCCTACTTCCATGAACTCAGTTCCTCTAGCAAGGCTCCACATCTTAAAGGTTCCATGACCTTCCTAAACAATACCACCAGCTTTGGAGCACATGTGCAAACATCTGGGCTTATGGGGAACATTTCACATTCACACTACAACAGCCTTGCTGGTCACAATCATGTTTCCAGCACACAGCAATGTCATTTTAAAGGGATTGCATTTCTCAAGTTCAGGGACCACATGTTCTGGACTCCCTGAAACTGTCCAGCAGATAGCTGGACACATAAAGGTTGGTAACTGATCTAGAGGTGAATCAAGCTTTCCTTTTTCCAAGATGGGGATCAAACCAGGGCCATGCACATACTAGACATGTGCTCTACCAATAAGCTATACTCTCGGCCTTGGAGGTGTTTCAAGAGACCCAGTAGAGCTGCCTTTTGTTCATTAGTTAATTCATTCATTCTGCAGGTGCTTAGGACCAAGATGAATATACACAATGTTGTTTCTGCTCACCTGAAGCTTAAAATGGAAATAAGAATACTAATTATGTTCATCGCTTGTATTGCACACCCCGAGGCTGATCACTCTTCAGGGTGATTTCTATGTATTCTTTTATCTTCACTCTCAATTCTATCCTTCAAGTTTGAGATTCTCCTCATTTTAAAAAATGTATTTATTTACTTATTTATATTTATTTATTTTTGGTCTTTTTGAGACAGCGTCTCCCTGTCGCCTCAGATGGCCAGAAACTCACTCTGTAGACCAGGCTGGACTTGAACTCACAGAGATCCACCTGCCTCTGCCTCCCAAGTGCTGGGATTAAAGGCGTGCACTATCACATCTGACTATTTAATATTTATTTTATGTGTATGAGTGTACTGCTTGCATATTTGTAAGTGCACATGTGTCATGCAATGCCCATGGAGGTCAGAAGAAGGCATCGGATCCCCTGGAACTGGAGTTATGGATGGTTGTTAGCCACCATGTAGGTGCTGGGAATTGAACTCAGATCCTCTCTCTGTAAGAGCAGCCACTGCTCTTAACTGCTGAGCCATCTCTCTAGCCCTGATTCTCCTCATTTTTAGAGCTGAAGAAAAAGTTTAAAGCGGCCACAGTGACAAGTGATTGAGCTGAGGTTTAAGCACAGGCACACTGGCTGTGAAGCTTTGCTGGATTCTCAGAGGGGAAACTAGAGTGTGTCTGACCAGCTGTGAGACCTTGGGTGACTCAGGGCCTCTGCTTGGGGCCTGGTGGCTTCCTCTGTGTAAAGGAGAGTTGGAATGTTTAACCCTATTCAAGTTCTAACGTTCTACAGTTAGAACCTATGGGATACTGTGGCAGGAGGGGTGTTCTGAGGAAGCACTGCTTTCCTGCTGTAGGCTGTTGGAAAGGCTGCTCTGGGGAGGACCAGGAATGGGCTATGGGACTCTGAGAACTTGGCCCCAGCAGCAGGTGCATGAAGATGTCTCCAGAACAGTGAAAGATGTTCCCTGTTCAGGCCTTACCCTCTCTGTTCTTGCTTTTCCTTCCTTGCAGGTGTAGGGCTGGCCAGGATGCCTACTGACCTTGCTGCCCTGGGAGAGGCCTTAAAGCCTCTGGGCAATGCCTCACCCTCCCTGGCCTGCCATCTCTCTCCTAGATACCAGAGGCACTGGCTATGTCTCATGACCCCAAGGAGAGAACAAGGAAAGCAGCGGTGGGTCAGCAGTGGAGAGCTTGCCTAACGGTACCAGGCCCTGGGTTTGATCCTCAGCATTGTAGTTGAGTGCATATGTGTGAGATTAAGACAGCTGTGATGGAAGGGGCTCCTGTCAGCAGCTCTAGGTCCCTGTATATGTAAGTGTGTGAGTGTATGTTTATGTGTGTGTTTGTGTGGGTTTACAGAGTGGTTCCCACTTCTTTCTCCTCCCCTATGGCCGATATGAACTTGGTTAACTAAGCTAATGTGGGCCATTTCCACAGAGCAACCTGGTTTCCTCATTGCCTTGAGTTCTGTGTCTCAAGTTTCTCATCACCTGAACTTGTGTCGCCTCCCTTGCCTTTCCTTCCCACAGACATCCCTGTGCTCCCTGGTTCTCCAAGGCGGTTGAGTCCCCGGACAGTGGCCAGAGGGAGGCAAGGCCCCAAACACGGACAGCAGTACCTCAAAGTGCCAGGTCCACAGGCCCCGGGTCTGCAGGACAGTACCAGAAGAAACTCCAGGCCCATCTCCAGGAGAGAATGCCCTGGTGGCAGTTCTGTGAGTACAGATGGAGGCCTTGAGGGAGCCTCCCCCCGTCTGGTGACCCCACAGTCTATGGGTTATGTGTGCAGGTGTGAAAAGCCTGGAAAGGTAGAACTTTTCCTCTTCCTTCTCTTCAAGTCAGGCACCATTTTGTAGCCCCTGTGATTCTCCTGGTCAGAGGAGGGTCTGGAAAGGAGAAGGTGAGAGGCAGGTGATTTCTACCTGTTGGGCTGCAGACTCCCTGCCTCACTTCCCACAGACCTGAGAAACCTCCCTTCTCTGCTGTGGTGGCTCCAAGTTTCTCCCCTGTGCCTGGCACTTCATCTTGGTTGCCCCGGTGACCTCTCAGGTGGCTGCCGAGGCAGCTGGGTATCAAACCAGTAATAAACAGGGAAACACCCAGAGGGAGGGAGGCAGGTCCCTGCCCTGCTCCGCCTGTTCTCTCTCCTCCTCTTCTTTCCACCTCACCAGTGTGGAGTGAAAAGCAGAGAAAGGAGTCAGTTCCTCTGTTGCTCTCATTGGCAGGGTCCTGGTCAGTGGCTGGAGAGGAGGAGGAAGAGGATGTGGGGTTGTGAGGGGCAGAGTGTTGCGTGAATTCCCGTGGGTGGGAGAGAAGCCTAGAAATTGGCCTTTGTTGTGATGGATCCAGAGCACCTGCCGGTAAGTATTCTGTGTGTAATTATGGAGCATGTTTGCAGGCCAGCGTGCAGCTTTGCAAGGAGCAGCACGTGTGGGTGTGCCACAGTGCATGTAGATGGCTGTGTGTGTTAGCTTGCTTTTGTGTGCCTGTGCACACGGACACCTTCACATGTGTGCAGAGATACTGATGCAGGGCTGCGTAAGTAGAGGAGACTGTATGCAGATGCTGTGTATGTGTGCATGAGCACGAGTGGGTGTGGGCAGGCAGTGTGGAAGGACAAGGGTGTGCTGCTGCATGTACAGTCTGTGTATGTGCATCTATGTGCATGTGCATAGATAACCAGAGTTTGTGTGAAGGCCCTGATGGCCAGACTGGACACGTGGAAAGCTACATGTGACAGATGAACTTAGGTTTCCAGTTCTTCCATTGGGCAGTCTGGGTCTTTTACTTCCCAGTCTGTCTTAGAGTACAAGGGCAGGCTCCTCTGTCTCTCACCTCCTTACTCATCAGAACTCACCATCTCTGTGTCACTTTCTCTGGCCAGGTCATCAATAACTACCTGGATGCCAATGAACCAGTGTCCTCGGAAGCCCGTCTGAGCCGCATGCACTTCCATGACAACCAGAGGAAGGTCGACTATGTGCTCGCCTATCATTACCGGAAACGTGGGGCGCACCTGGGCCAAGGCTCCCCTGGCCACTCTCTAGCTGTTGTCTCCAATGGGGAGACAGGCAAGGAGCGTCGTGCTGGGGGCCCTGGTGACATTGAACTTGGGCCACTCGATGCCCTAGAGGAGGAGAGGCGGGAGCAGAGAGATGAGTTTGAACACAACCTGATGGCGGCTGGACTGGAGCTGGAGAAGGACTTGGAGGTGAGGCTGGCCTCAGGGATGGGCCTGGTGGTCAGTGTCACCTGCATGGAGCCTTAGCTTTATTCTGGAAGGTGTCATTATTTTTTCTCTTTGGAAGCAATCTGGTTTCTTGTCCAAGGGCTTTGTGGGAGAGTCTTGATATTGTGGTACCTTTATTTAGGTGGTTCCAGGCAGTTGTGGGGCAGTGGTGGCAGGCCAGCCTGCTCCCTGGTATTTAGACTGGCAAGAGATTGAAGGTGAGACATTGGTCCCTGGCTCTCTCCTGAGGGCCTATCTGTGACTTTCTCCAGAGTGGTTTTTTTTTTTTTTTGGATGAAGACCTGGTTTGCCCGTTGAACTTGGATCTAAATTCCTTTATGGGGATGTAGGGAAACTCCATTGCTAAGGAATGGGCTTGCTCAGAGCACCCTGAAGGAGCTTTCTTGGGACATTTTGGGGAACCTAATGGGACACTATTGGATATTTAAACCTATAAAGTATATGTGTGTATACATGGAGAGAGAGAGAGAGAGAGAGAGAGAGAGAGAGAGAGAGAGAGAGAGAGAGAGAGAGAGAGAGAGAGATAGTGGAGTGTAGAGAGACGCTATATGATATATAAATATATAGAGTATATGTGTGTATATATAGAGAGAGAGAGAGAGAGAGAGAGAGAGAGAGAGAGAGAGAGAGAGAATGTCACCTCCAGTCAGTGGACTAAGGGATTCCATGGAAATCCATCCATCCACCCATCCATTCACTTGTTCATACATACCACTCTTATCTTCTCAAAGTGACCTGTTCTTGCTATTCTTTCCAAACCTGTAAGTCCCTACCCCTCTAGCCTCCCCTCAAACTCTATTCCAAGCACCAGTCCAACCTCACTTGTGGGTTGGTCATCCTGGCCTTAAGGTATTCCCCCTCTTAGGGACTCTTCCCCAGATCCATGCATGCTTATCCCTTCACTTGAGGTCTCTGCTCCAATCTTACCTCTTTCCCTGACCACACCTACTAAAACACCATCCATGTTGTCAATCTCTATTCCTGGCCCCTGCTTCACTTTTCTTTATCCCACTTATCACCGCCGCCTGCAGCAAAGTGATAGGGTTTTTGCTCATTTGTGCCCCACCAGCTCCATGAAGGCAGGGGTCATTTCATTTCCTGCTACATCCCCAGCACCCAGGATAGAGACTGTCTCATAGTAGGTGCTTAGTAAGTGTCAGTTGTGTAAACGGTTGGCCTCTCAGAGGAGGCTTAGGCCCCTTATTTGAAAACTAATAACTAAGTGTCTTGCTGGGCTGTGGTTTTACATGGACCACTGTTAGATGGAGCGATGGAAGCATCTAACACAATGTCTGGTATACATAAAGTGCTCAGCGAATGCTTATGATTATTTTGAGAGGTGGCATGCTGAAAGCTGGGAGGGCATTCTCATCTGAAATCTAATTCATAAGATTCAAGTTAAGGAGTCTTCCAGCTGGAAGGGACTCCTGCAGTCATTCATCTCTTCTTTTGACCCCAGGTGGGATGGTATGTATCTTGGCTCAAGCCCTTATGGCACTGACTTAGGTTGCTCCCAAGACCCCTTTCCCAAGGGGTACTCTTGTCAGTCCCCTTCCCACCAGCAATGGAGAGAGTGTTCTTTTAGGACCGTTTTGGGCCTCCTCAGTGTGGGTTGCTGATTTTCACTATTTGAAACCCAAAGCTCACTTGTCATCTGTGTTTTGTGTCCAGTAAGCATGCCTCTCCAAGGTCGTGGTATATTCCAGGGCATTCAAGGATCTCTAGGAGCTTGCAATCTGCACATCTGTCATTGGGTATCAGCAAATGGAGGACTTGGTTGGGAAACAGTCAGGGTTGTGCTCAGGAGGGGGCTCTCAGAAGGCTGATTGGAAATGTTTGCTTCTCCTAACATGGGACCTTGGGCAGGTTGCTTGATCTTTAGAGTCGAAGCTTCCTTGTTGATGAAATGGGAACAGTCTATTCTTCGCTGGGTTTGTAGGAGGAGGAGGCACGACATGCAAATGAAGGCTCTTGAGCAGGTGCAATGAGTGCTACTGCTATTATTATTGAGAGCTTCCAAGTGTAACAAACAAAATGTAGGGTGCTTAGTTAAAACTGAGTTTCAGGGTGCTGGAGAGATGGCTGCTTCTGCAGGGGACCAGGGTTTGAATCCCAGCATCCACATAGTGGCTAACAATTGTCTGTAACTCCAGTCCCAGGGGATCTGACACCCTCTTCTGACCCCCGCAGGCCCTGCATATCATGGGTGTACTTATATACATGCAGGTAATACACTTATACACATAAAATAATAAAAATAATAAATAAAATATTGTAAAACTGAGTTTCAGATCAACACAACCAACAGTGAATAACTCTTTTATTTTTATTTTTAGCTCATGTCCTCCTTGTGGTATTAGGGATAGTATATCTGTCATTGATCAGAAATTCCAATGTAACTAGTCTGGTCCTCTTAACACTGTAGTCTGTGTCTGCCCATTTTTGCTGCCCTATACTTATTGGATGTTCCTGGCCTTGACTGGGAATTAAGAGGGCACAGAGATAGTTATCAGACAGATTGATGTTAACATGTGGACCTTGTCCTTTGTACAGTCACCCAGAGCTTCTGTCTCCCAGCCCCATCCTGGATTTGAGGTCCACTTAACTCCTTCCTGAGGACTCAGCCTCCCTCTATCCCCTCTGTCCTCCCAGTCTCTATCACTCATGGGACCATTGTGACCTACCCTCTTGCAGGATTTCCTTTCTTCTGAAAAGTACTTATTGGAATCCGTGTTGGGCTTGTACATGTGAAAACTTAACTACCCTTCTCAGCCACGGCCTGCGGTTATCTTTATCAACATTTCTGCAAACATCCCCCTCAGCCTTCCCTGCCTACTCTCTCCATAGGCAATTGTTCTGGTACATCATGGTCTGGAAAATGTATAGTGTTGTTCTGCTGTATGCAATTTTGTTTTTCCATTTTAAAAAGAGACTATTATTTAGACCAGTTTTAGAGTTACAGAGAAATTGGAAGTAGCACACAGAGTTCTTAGTGTCCTACCCCATGCCCAGCTTCCTCTAATACCATTTTGTTATATGGCACACTTGTTACAATTAATGAACTAATATCCACACATTCTTATTAACACAAATCCACCTTCTATTCATACTTGTTTTTAATGACTGTCCTTTGTTCTAGATTCCCCTCTAGGATATCACATTGCCTTTAATCGCCATTATCTCTTTAGGTTCATTTTGCTGGTGACAATTTCTCAGAACAGTGTACAGTTCTAATTCACCTTAAACACACCGCATTCTATAGCTTGCTGTTTCTTATTTTCCTTTCTTGGTGTTAGAATCCCAAGCACCTTCTGCATATGTATCTTGCCTGTTATTTCTAATAGGTTGGCAGTTTGTGGCCACCACAGTTGACTTTGCCATTCCTCTAATAGAAAGGGACACTCAGGTTGCCTCTCACTATGGCTTCCCTAATAAGACTGAGGATAAATTGTTAACCTCTTCAGGGCCATAATCCTCTTGGCTTCTCTTCCTTCTTCTCCCCACATCTTGGTGCTAAACATCAGTGGGAGAGTCATCCATGGAGCCTGTGAGTCTCTGCACAACTCTATGTTAAGGTGCTCAGCCTTAGCCTCTGAGCAGAAGACTGGAGTGGGTACCAAGGGGCCTTGCCTGGCAATAGGTGGTGGCAATTTAAAGAGCAGGTACAGTGATCTCACTAATCAATTGTCCCCCCTCTCTTCCGGACTGGGATGGCTTTTAGGCTCTGATATCATTTGGACTTTAAGACAGCTGGAAAGGAATTGGGTTTCTACTCATTAAAATTATTCACTTGGCCTTTGATCAGAAGAACTTTGGCTCCATCAAGTTCTAAATATGGTAGAATTCACTTTCGACCCTCTAGGCATGCTTTGGGCAGGGTGGCTTCGATGTACACTTACCGGTGGTGCTTCATCTTTTCGGTTTGTGTGTGTATCTCTGTGCATTGACATTGCCCATGCCATCTACTTAGAGGCAATTCAGAACCTTATCAGTGTCTACAGCCACACCACCCTGAACACACCCGATCTCCTTGGAACATTATCAAAGAACTATATGATAGTTGGCCTATATGCTTCTTATATTTGGTCAGTTGATGAGAATTTCATTTAGAGACATCTCTGGAGATGTTGTGGCTCACAGAGACACTTGTACCCACATTCCTAATTCATATAATTGAAGGCTACCTCTTTGGAGATGGACATCTCTTCTAAATGGGATGCTGAGTGCAGCAGTCTAGGAGTGTGCCTAGCCATGAGCTTCCAGAGTGACTTTCCTCTAGTCCTGGTGGGGCTGTGGAGTGGGATCAGGCCTCCATCTAGTACCTCCTCCCAAACCTCCTGCCTCTAACCAAAGAGTCACCAGGACAGAGATGGAGACTCAGATGCATGTTGTCACCAGAGTCATTTGTGGGGATGGGAATTCCCTAGCCAGGTGTAGTGCAATGCAGGCAGGAGACTTGGGAGAGTGTGTTTGGACACCTTCAGGCAAGACTTGGTTGCACCTGCAGGTCCTGAAATCTCATAGCTTGTGCAGTTCCATCTGTGAAACTGGAGTGGAGAAGGTATGTACAGGGAGGCCAGATTTCCTTGAATATAGGAGGATTAGCTTTCCTGGGATTGTGACAACTGATCACAGAGGCTGGCATTATTGGGCATGCACTGACATCTTCAACAGCCCCATGAGCTGTTTTCTGGCACAGAGTGGGCAGTATGCCAGCTGGGAGGTTGCAGAGGCCCCAGCTTCCTTCAAGGGACCAAACTCTCCTCTCTTACTTGGCATTAGGCAGAAATCCAGATGGGACCAAAACCCTTCTGTCTCTGCAGAGACTCCTTGCTTGAGCTGTGGGATGGTTACCCAACTCATGACCCCGTAGGCCTGAGTATTTGACAGTTAACCTTGTGTGACAGCACTCATTGGGAGTGTGACATCATGGCTTCTCAGCAGGGTCCATTTAGAGGACA